GAAAATGATGAACGTCTCCGTTTGCATCCCGATTTGAACCCTTACCCTTTCGGGCATTGTGTGTTTTTTTCGGGCGAGGAGGTCACTGCCCCCCCAAGTCCAAAGGTGCCCGTACGCCTATGACGGCAACTATGCCTTAAGTAATGCTAAACCAACTATCAGGAGCCATTCCTAAACCTGATTCACCAGAAGTGCTCTTAATCCACGACTGTTCCCGTCCACTCAGGCGAGCACTCACATATTACATTAAATATCGATCATTGAAGTTTGAAACTTTGGATTATACAATTAATTTGCTAACCCTAGATTATTTCATGGCGAAAATAAAATTTCATGCATGCATAAAGATCAGTTCCTTTTGATCGTGGGGTTGAGGGCAGTCCCTCTCCACTTTTAGATACCCTTGAAACAAAACGGATATGAGAAAAATAAGATCGCCCGGCTATTGAGAATCCTGATTCAAAAGCGCGATTGATTTCTTTCTTGAACTCACCCTTCCCCTATTGTGAATTTTTTTCTGGAGTTTTCATTGATTTCTTTCAATTCCAGGAGGTTGTTTGGAGTCCATGATTGACAGCCGAGGGTGGTTACTGGTAATGCACCAATCAATTCCGCCTGCGCCCAGTCCCCTCCCTTCCCCGTCCCCGTGCTAACCCCTAAAATTTTTTTCTCGTGGATGGCAAATTCCCGGGGGTATGAGCACTTAAGCTGTCAATTGGTGGATTTGACCGATACATAACGACGAGACGGATTCTTGTATTTACACTAAAAGCATAGGCTTTGTTAAATGACGAGGACAGTTTCCACTGAGCCTCTCTTCTTGTTAGAAAAATGAAAAATCTGGACGGGAACTCGTAATTATTTTTCTCGAATTTTCATCATTAGGCGCTTGCTTTCTCCTGAAAGATTGACCGGAAAGCCTCGCTTTCGCGCACTCTGTAACTAATACCACTGTAGCGTGGGCTCAACTGTAATAACAGCTATTGCAACTTGGACGACCATCAGGCACGACAGCAGTCACGCTTGAAAGAGAACAACGGAGTTCCGTCCCAGAACAGGAATAAAAAAGTAAGACAGAAAGATTGACTGAATCGGCTGATGAATGAACTGTTAAAAAACTTCCAGGCTGTCTAAAAGGGATCTTGAGTAATTAAAAGTTCCCGGTGAATAAGAAGGACGTACGAAGCTTTAAAATTAGAAAAACTTACATGTACACAAACCACTGTGAAACAAAAAAGCTTGATTCTCCCATAATTTCTTTTCAAATCTCTGACGAGCGGACTACTCTCTTAAAGGTTCTGTGTTTTTGTTGTTTTTACATGGATGATCTCTCCTCTGAAGTCCAGCCCTCCCCCTTAACCTTCTCTCATTACATTATAGGGGCACACAACGTCAATTTTGGAGAAAATATCTGTTCGGAAGACGATTTGGGATCTACAATTTTTTTTTAATAAAATTTAATGCTTATGCCTGCCTCTCCTAGGATTTTTAAACATCTAAAACATTGTATAACTTCCCACTTTTAAAGGATTTTTAACCTACAATTTGCGGAAGCCCTTTTTTTTCTGAAATTTTCGAAAATGATTTTCGGATCACTACACTTTCAGCTCGGATATCCGAACAGATAAAAAAATTTTATGGGGTAAAAATATGCCTATATATACCGTTAAAACACAAAAATACATTCAACAATGCTATGTTTAAGTGGTTTTGAAATATATTCTCGTTTGGTGCTCCTGATATTAGATAAAGATTCAGCGGGAATCAAGATTTATTTTAGCCCAAGGATAGCTTGTGATTGTATTTGTTAGTAAAAAAAAAAAAGAATCACAATGAGACCCTGGTGCATTGAATTGGCGTAAAACTCGTTAGATTTTTTCCCCTAGTTTCTATCTGACCCTCGCCACCCCAAGTTTTGTTGGTGACCAATTTTTAGTCATGTCATATGTTACAAAATTAGGAGATTCGTATAGCTTTAACATTTTCATTTTGGGGGGACAGTGTTGACCTCTTAGATTTGTGCATAACATTGTGATCAGCTGGGCCTTCTTGAGCATCTAAAACTCAATCCATAGAGAGGGAGAAATAAAAAAAAAGAAAAAGTGCGAGATGTGTGAGAGATTCAATGATGCTCTTGATTCAGACTAACTTCCATATTGCTTTACTGAACTTTATATCCATATTACAGGCAGTTTTTCATATCATAATGTGCTTGAAACAGGGAAGCTTTTAGTATAAATATAAGAATCCGTCTCGTCGTTATGTATCGGTCAAATCCACCAATTGACAGCTTAGGTGCTCATACCCCCGGGAATTTGCCATCCACGAGAAAAAAATTTTAGGGGTTAGCACGGGGACGGGGAAGGGAGGGGACTGGGCACAGGTGGAATTGATTGATGCATTACCAGTAACCACCCTCGGCTGTCAATCATGGACTCCAAACAACCTCCTGGAATTGAAAGAAATCAATGAAAACTCCAGAAAAAAATTCACAATAGGGGAAGGGTGAGTTCAAGAAAGAAATCAATCGCGCTTTTGAATCAGGATTCTCAATAGCCGGGCAATCTTGTGAAACAGTATTGTAATACACCGAAGGCAAATATGGCGTCCAGTTTGAGTTGCCATTGTTCTGGACTGACTGGCCTCTCACACATGTAATAATCCTTTTGTATTTCCACGTAAAGACGAGGCTAGTCAGTCCAGAACAATGGAAATTCAAATTGGTTGCCATATTTGCATTCGGTGTATTGTAGTTTTAATGTAATTCTTACGATTTAGTGTTATTTTGATTAGAATACTATTGTAATTACTGAAGATTTTTACCGAGTTTAAATAAAGAACTACTACTACTACTACTACTACTACTACTACTACTACTACTACTAGGGAGGCAGCCTGTTGCCCCCGTTGGGCCAGCTAACTTTTTTGTAAGGGGGGCTTCCGTAAAGCTGAGTGTCATGTTGTTGCCCACACTGTATGCATTTGTGGTAGGCTGGTTAAATTCCAGGGGGTGGGATTTGTTCCAAATGTGCTGTATTTTCGCACTTTTATGCAGTTCGTTTGCACTCCCTGATTTCCTTGGAATCAATTACGCACTCCGTTGA